TCATATAGTATTAGACATCCAGACATAGGAAGTATTAAGTTAGGGCGTTACAAAAATATTATGTCACGGGTGTATTTCTTTAAAGGCACTTAGCATTTGGGTCTTAATTGAAATCATTCTTACTCCAGCTGAGTTGGCAGAGAAGCATCTGGTAGCAATGTTAGTGGTCTATAAAGAACGTGGTTATGTTTCAATGTCCAAAGAATTTCCAGGGGGGAAAAATGTGTGACACAACTAATGAGTTACCTTCATGCATAACTTTGACACTCTGGCCTGGTCTGTATGTATTGTATGATTGGCACCTTAAGGGAGTAGCCCCGTGTTAGGGACAGGGAGTAACAAAGTAACTTTAGGGTTATATTCAAACTCCACAGAATTGGACTTTAAACACATTGTGTATGAGAAATTTTCATATAGGATTCTGCTGAAGTAAATCAAAAAAACCTGGAGTGTAGTGATTCCAGAATATCTTTACCATGTAGACGTTCAAAATTGAAGACGCCATATCCACAACTGAATCGATACAGAAAAGCCAAACAAGTGGTTGTAAATTGTGGTTGGTTTTATTATATGGCTACCAGTTAATGAGTATTAACTGTTCGGTGGTCATTTTTTACTATAAAAGCAGCGTAGTAATCCTTAGTATTTGTACAGCTGCCCAGAGCATCTTCTAAAGTCCAGTCTCCTCCCATTCGACTACTACCAACAATGTCTTTTATTTAGGGAGTATAGGTAGAAATATAGTCCGCATCTCATTACTTAGATTAAATATATTGATGTGAGTTTTCGTGTCACTTCTACAAACTTATATTTGGTGAAAAGAGGGAAGGCTGGGGCTCTCACTGCCCTGTCCCTCACGGCACTACAGGTTCGATATTTCCACACCAGTGCTTTGCTGGTGGTGGTATATTTTGACTAGCCAAATAGTGCTGTTTTCTTGATATGTTTGAGCTCAGAACACAGTCAGGATCCTGCATATGGCCCATGTAGATTATTATGCACCGTGCACAAAATTTCTTTCCAGTAACACTTAGAGGAATTGAGAGCTGGAGTAAGGCAGCGAGCAGGGAAACATATTTTATTTTTCCTCCCACATTAAGCTCCAAATAATGAGCACTTTCTTGTGCATTGCAGTAAGCAATTAAAAGAAATTATAGAGTTGGTTGCAAGTATAACCCGAAGGACAACTGGATGTGTGGAACCACCAGTTTTCTCCATGTGCCCAGGCTAATCCTTGTTAATACTCAGAGCGTTGACTTTCTACAGAATGGGCTTGCATGTCCATACATGTTTTTGGCATCTACCCACACACTTTTGTATGGTATGACTGTGCATCGCAGGAGAAAGACAGTGGTGTGTGCCTCTGTGGAGTAGAACAAACTGATTGCTGAAAATGGTGTCATAAAGGTGAGCAACAAAGAACTAGTAACCTTCTCTTGCTAATGGTATCTTTCCCCCAGGATATCGTGATAGTAATTTGAAAAGGAATGTTGTTCTTCTGTTGCCAGAGGCAACTTATCTTCCCAGTTTCTTCCTCCACATAGTTTTACTTCACTTCTTTAAGTTTGGTGTTCTGTGTTTCCAGAAGATATGGTCTAATCGAGAGTGATCCTTTGCTGAGATAAAACATAGCCATCTTTCTGAAGAGATTATGTTAAGCCTACAAGTTCGGTCCTAAAATGGGTTTATAAATTGATATTATATACTTATTCTTTCTGTAGTGGAAATTGTACTGATAGTCATTTCAGTAGACTCAACTGTAGAAAAGCTGGCAAGTACATGTCTTTACCATGCTCCAGGCTTCATTAGGTGTGTGTGACTGTGTGACTCTGGTCTCTGGTGATGTGCTGGCTCTCAACAGTAAGAATCCTGATAGTATACACAGGGGTGTTCAACCGTACTCTACAGACAGAATTTGATTAAAGTACCTAACTGTGGAAAAAAGAGATTGAAATAAGGCAGACTGCCTTCACTCTCTCTCTCTCTCTCTCTCTCTCTCTCTCTCTCTCTCTCTCTCTCTCTCTCTCTCTCTCTCATTTTGAATTGCGATGATCCTGGAATGTTTCCAATCAAAACATAATGATAAAAAAAATACTACTTAAAGGGGATTCCCTTCATCCTCAGAGCTAAGAGTTACCACATGCTCTCCCCTTACAAAGAATGCTACCTTTCCCATCTTGCATTGTTTCTGGTGCACAGCCCGCTCAGTCTTGGAGGCAAGAAGATGGTGCCCTGCTTTGCTTTCCCATTATTCTCTGCCCATAGATGTGCCTGTGTATAATCTGAAAAAGGCCGTCCTGTAGCATGTGGCCATCTGGGCCTTTCAACCTCCCATTCAAGGTAGAACTCAACAGGATTTGAGACATCACCTGAGAAAGTAAGACTCAACGTCATGTCAGTCCCATGACATTGCACGCGGTTTGCCACACTGGTGGAGTTCCCAGTGCATGGTATATACATGTGAACTGGTGAACCTGGTGAGTTCTTGGTGCTTGGAATCTAGCAGTCTTCACAATCTTTTATCAGGAGTTCAACAGTGGACCAGACTCCAGTTCTACTTAAAAAATTGCTTTGACAACTCCCTCATATTTTTGTTCAATTCCAAAAATTTTAAGCATTTCTTTCATTTTTTTTTAAAAAACTTTTCAAAAGTCATTTAAGGCACCTCTGTCTTGAAGCAACTGATTTCAAATATTAGGTGCTTACTGAGAAATTGTGCTACCTACTGGGCATTTGTTGTAGCGACAGGTTTAAATTGGAGGAATAATTCTGATCCTTGATACATACACATACATGTACAATGCATATTATGGTTTTGTTGCCAGCACTGTTTAGCTGAGTGGGGCTTAATCATACCTTTAATCACACATGAAATGTGCACATGGTAAGAAAGTGCTGGAGATCTGTCGGTTTCAGGACCAACTCTAAAAATAAATCTGCCTGAGGGGGTGAGTTCTCGCTGCCTCTGCCTCTCCTTTACCACTTCAGAACACAGAGGACCAGAGACATCTGGCTGAAAGCAACATGACATCTGGCTGAGTGCTTGGAAATCTACTCTCAGATCTAGTTAGTCATGTCATCTCCAGCATGGTTCTCATTGAGTGGGTGATATCAGCCTGTGTGAAGTGATTAGGAGGGCTAAATATGTTTGCATCTGCCTCATAGCACTTGGGAAAAATTACTAATTCAATAACAGTCCAGATTTATATCAGCAGTACCCTAGAAATGCTCATTTATGGGTATCCCATATATCCCATGCCATACTTAGAAAAGAGTAGGAAAGCCAGCTAGCAAAAAAGAGAGTCAAGAGTTTTTTTTTTTAATATACACCATTACAAAAGCGACAATATTTTCCCATGTAATGAGCAATGAGAGTGGAGTCAAAGAGGAAATATGGTGAGTAACCCCATGGCTTACTAAGACAGTACCGTAGTGCCCAATTTGATGTAGCCCATTTCCTTCCACCCTCCTTGGCTACCTTTCTCTGTATCATTGGATCTATTACGTCTCAGCTTTGATGAGTTTTTTAATATACTTCAAGTGTCTGAATGTAGTTGAATTGCAGGTTGGAAGAAATCAGATGTGAGAGGGAAAGCTGAGATTCTGCACTGCTGATGAGTTCTCTGGTGGTATCAATGCAGCGTGTTCATTGATCACACTTTGAGAAAGAAGTAGGGTCCATTAGTTGGAGTACATTGAATTAGGAAACCTACATTTCCTAAAACTCTAATTTCAGGTCCCACAAATCTCTCATTTTGTTGGAGTATTTTTCTCAACAGACTTTTACTAAATCTATGTTATTGTTTGAATGTATAATGTGTGTGCATTCCATCACATCCATGTATGCAAATGCGTGTACATGCGCACCATACTGTGTATGTGGAGGTCATATGCCTCAAGGGTTGGTCCTCACCTTCTACCTTGTTTTGAGATGAGGTCTCACCACGGCTGCATATGCCAAGCTAGCTGATTCAAACGCTTCCGGGGTTTTCCTGTCTCTGCCTTCCATCTCCCCATAGCAGATGCTAAAATTAGCAGTGCTCACACAGTGCATCTGGATTTTACATGGATTTCGAAGATTCAAACTCAGATCCTCCAGTTTGTGAAACAGTTGTTTATTTACTGAACCATCTCTTCAGCCCTTTACTGACAATTTTGAATTGGATTAATGATCAATTTATAAGTATTCATTGGAAATATAACCTGATATTTAAGATTTTAGGCTGCATAAAACTAATTTCAACCTTGAATTTTTCCTATAAATTCAAGCGTATATTTAAGTACAGTTTAGTTGTAGCTCACTTGCACCAATGTGATGCTGAACTTGTTTATGCATCCCTATTCAACACTTCTAAAGGCATTATCCCCTTCTATAGAAATCCCATCCATGGGGCTGTGGAGATGGCTTAGTAGTTAAGAGCACTAGATGCTCGTCCAGAGACCCAGGGTTCAATTCTCAGCTCCCAAATGGTGGCTCACAACTTTGGGACTCCCCAGTTTCAAAGAAATTGAGTGTCCTGTTCTGACCTCTGTGGATACCAGGTATACATACAAGCAAAGTACCCATACATATAACACACATGATTCCATAGTAATTGATGAATGTCTGTCATTAAATATGATATTCATGTGATAAAGTTATGTGTTATAAAGTGAGTTGATAAAACAACAATATTAATTTAAGTTAGTAGTATTTGTCTATCATGTATGAGAATTTGGTAAATAATACATTGTTAAATCTAACTTTGGTGAATGGTAACAAAACTTGCTGGAATACTGAAGAACATAGAGTCCTAATTTTAAAAGATTTTATTCCTTGACTGTCAGCTGCTAGTTGGCCCTTATAACTTGGCAGCTGTGCCCCAAGGTTAGTATGTCAGAGTAGAAGTTCTCTGCCCAATCTTTGTAGAAGATAATTTTCTATTCCTTCTTTCCAAATACAAGGCATCATTTCAACTGATGCTAACATTTATGTCTTGTACTTTAACCAGACCTTCCCCCAAATAATGTGCCGATAGCACCAACAGAAAGAGAGTTGGGTCATTCAGTATCTGGTGAATCTAGTTGATATAGTATACTGTACAACTTACTCAGGGTAATAATTCCAGGGAGAATACTGAGTCTCTGTCCTTAGCAGGCTGTCTAGTTTTTCTCCAAAAATAAAGGTAAGTCTTCTGCCAATAGGAAAACCACTGTTTGTTTGTTTATGTTAGGGGAGGGGAGTAGAAGATGGTAGCAGAAGATTGGCATTCTATCAAAGGTTGGCATGTAAATTTATCTGTCAAATTAATGTTTCAGTAAAATATGTATTTTTTTCTGATGGCATTTACCTGTCCTTTTTTACTACATGTGTATACTAAGACTCATCAAATTCTTTGGTTCTTATATTATCATTAAATAAAGTTTGTGTCATTCAATGCCATGGGAAAGCCAGGGGTTAGAGTACTCTGATATGAAAGACTATGTTTTATAGAAAATTGCTTTAGGGTTTTCAGCATGCCGGAACCAATGTAGTTATAGATGTTTGAACACAGGCGAATTACAGAAGTTGGCACAGTTGATTATGATGATAAGAGGGCCATGAGGGGTTGTTTGCAATCTGTAGACTCTGTCTTGCTGTAACATGGCATGGTCCAAGTCTGGAGGTCTGAGAGCCTGAGGATCCAAGTACAGGTACAAAGATCTGGAAGTTCTGATGTCTAACATGAGAATTTGTATCTCTGTGACAATGAGCCTTGGAAAAGAAGAGTATAAAACAGTTATGACAGAAATATCCAATCACTTTTCTTCTCATGTTCTGTCTCGGTACCAGTCAATGATATGGATTGTGTCCACCCATAACTGAGGAAAGACTTTTCCATTTAATCCACCAATTTATCAGACAATCTCCTTTGGAAACAAAGCCACACCTCAAAACAACATTTCTTTGTCTAGTCAAATTAATACCTAAATTTAACCCTCACTCAAGGGTATCAGAATATCTTAAAATACAAATGGTTTAAAAATAATATAGAGATATTTCTAAAAGCTTTGAAATATCTGCATTATCTAATATTATTTTCAAAATTAGTTATTAACTTCAATCAAATAGACAACTAGCTAATTAGGTGAATATCTATAATGATCACTATATTTTTTTCCATTTTAATGATGAATTTCAACTTCAATTACTTTCTTTGAGAAATGTGTGGGTGTCTTTAGTGTTGTCTTATTTTTTGTTTGTTGATTCTTGGTTTAGCAATACATGAGAAAATAACATGGAAATGACGTAGATGGAAGAAACAAACTAGTACCTTTAGTGTAAGGCCAAACCTCTTCTGGAATCTAGGTTCTGACCTCATTCTACCAAGGGAACCACACTGAGGGGATGAGTTGATTAAAAACTCTGCTTCTCTTTCCTCCAGCACAAAATGGAGATAATTATAGTTACCTGTACCCCCTGGGTCCTATGAGTCTTAATTACTTAATATTTGCAAAGCACTTAGAGAGCTTTGAATTAAAAGTGCTGAGCCATAGAACCAGAGTTCAGTATAATTATAACTGGAATGAAAGTTTGTCCTTTTTCCCTATCTCCATCTCTCTATGCTCTGTTATTTTGCCAAACCAGACATTACTGATGGTTGCTACCTAATACTGCCCACTTCTGTGACCACCCTTCTTGAAACATGTTTCAGTAAATAGATTGACCCAGATCCATAGTTCCACATGTAAACAACTACTTAGTATTTATTTTTAAAGTTCACTATTCAATAACAAGGCAATTCTTGAACTCATTTGTTTCTTCTAATCTGCCAATCCAAGAAGTCTTGGGTGGACAGTGTTAAACAGTCCTCCCTACTCAGAAAACTGGCTCTTCAGAGCCCATAAAGGAGCTTCCAATCTGTTTATTATCATCCCTAGAACTTTATGAAGTTGGCCAATTGTTTGGACTTGTCTCTTATTACTTCTAATCCAGAGCTTTTCTCTTCATTTTCTAATTCAATTCTTTCTCACCTCTAACCCGCTCATCAAACAATCATCATCTCATAATGTCTTATTTGGAGATCCCAGAATCCTTTGAGATCCTTACAAATTATCTCTTCATTTCTTACCTAGAATCTTTCCCCTTCTGGAATTTCATCTACTTCTTCCCAGGATTTTTTTTCCCACATCGGTCTTGCTTCCTTCTTAGACTATGGAACTAGAAGATAGAGCCCTTGCCTTATAATTAAACAAACAGAAGTAAGGTTGACATAGGGATATAGTGAAATCAGATGCAAGTTAAACATTTTAATGTTATTTTTACAGATTCCCATTAATCTGGTTTTAATAAGTTTGTATCTTATATGACAGAATTAAATATTAGCTGATCTTTCTTTAACATCATTATCCTTGGTAGTTATAGGACTGTCTAAAATGAGTCACCCTGTCATTAAACTGTGTTTTCTTTGATTACATGCTTACATACAAAACCCAAAGAAATTAGTAGCAGTTAAATCTTTTATGGTCCTCTCATTCCCAATTTCCTGGTTTTCCTGTATGGTTATTTTGTTCTTTTTCTCAATTTTGGCTATGAAAATGTAGTTCTAATATGACTAACTTAAAGAGGAGAAAAGACTATTTTGCCTGGTACCTCAGAGGTTTGACTTCATGGTCCTCTGGCCCTACTGCTTCTCTGTCTTTATAAGGCAGAACATGATGTAGGGCCTACATCCTTTGGCTTCTGTCTTGCCCCGTTGAACATTTAGTTATTAATCCATCAATAGTATATCCATTTATGAGATCAGAATCCTCATGATGTATTCACTATCTAAAAGCCCACCTCTGTACATAGCTGCAGTGAGGACTAAGTCTTCAACTCACAAGGGGACCATCTGCATCACAACAAAGACAAAACAGTTCTAGCAGTACTCCATGGTACTGGCTTCAGAACGTTGATCTCTGGGATATGATATAACTGTGTAAAATGGTTTCCAAGTTTTATAAGCGTCCTTTTTGTCATAGCCTTTCTCTTTCCTGTCATTAATATTCTAAAACTGGCATTGTTTTCTGGTAGTAAGAGCTTGAGTGAGGAGACTGTGATCTATTAGCTTTGTGACATTTTACAGAGTACGTCTTTGAAGTGTAATTGCTGTACCTGTGTGATCATGATGCTATGAACTGTCCTCTCTTTGTGAAAATCCAATTTGATGAAGATTTTGAATATTCTGTAATCTTTTAGACAACACAGTTATTGTAGCACTGCAGTAGAGGAGCAAGCGATCATGCATATTCTTCTGGTCAGTTGTTTAGGTCTTTTGAGTCATGCTTCTAACTAAGCTTTCCGTTTACCTCACTGATGTCTTTTTTTCAAAGTGCTATATACTGAATTAACTTTACCGAGATGAGAAAGTCTTCCTATAACTTTATAGGTAGGGTAGAGTGGATTGTTGTTAAGCCTTTGGAAAAATAACTATGTAGACTAATCATCTACATAGAAGCATTGCATAGCCCCTTTGTTTTTAGATGAGATTTATCTTGAGCTGTATTGGGGTTTGATACCTAAGAGAAAAAGTTGAAAAGAGGAAATACTTACCAACCAATGGCTGGCATAGTTGAGGGAAGCTTCTGACCTGTGACAGCCAGAAAGCAAAGAGAAAGGTTCCAGGGACAAAATATGCTTCTCTGGTGTCCCTACTGACTGCTTTCTGCACCAAGACCCTACTTCCTAAAGTTCCCAGTACTTCCCAAAATAGCACCCGCCAAGGACTGTGCCTTAAATACAAGAGTCTGTGGGGAAACATTTCATATTCAGAGCTTTGGATATATATTCAGAAATCTTTATTAGTTCTTTATGTATTTCTAATATAGTGTATGAATTACTCACTGAAGAATTTAGAGGAGTATAAAAAAGAAAGCGAAAGGATAGACATTCCAAATTTTACTCTCATTATTACTGCTATTAGCACTGACTCCAACCCATACCTCCCCCGCTCACTGATCCACTGGAAGAGCTGTGTGTAGCACAGTGTTTTCTGCTTTTTAATCACTCAATGTTTTACTGCATTAAAACTTGAGAATCTTTTGGTAGATGATAAATATCAGCTGTTAAATTGCTAAGTTTAAAATTTGTAATTATAATTTACCTAATATATATGTTTATATCATACACTAAAAATTATCAAGAATTTAGCTAAAGCTTTCAGTGCATTCAAATGGTAAGTCTTCCTGTAAAAAATGACATCAGAACCCTTCTTTCTCTTGGATTAATAAATAGATGTTTATTGATTATTACTGACAATTTTCTGGGGTCTTTTGTTTTTTTGAGACAGGGTTTCTCTGTGGCTTCGGAGCCTGTCCTGAAACTAACTCTTGTAGGCCAAGCTGGCCTCGAACTCACAGAGATTCACCTGCCTCTGCCTCCCAAGTGTTGGGATTAAAGGTGTGCGCCACCACCACCCGGCCAATTTTTCTGTATTAGCATTATGAGAGATATGACATGATCCCTTTCCTTGGAGAGCTTATTTTCTTACAGAAGACTGGCCATAACCAATAAGTACTGTTAATGACAGATGTGGGGGGCATGAAATACTAAATATGATAATAATGTAGAATTAATGAGAGGAAAGAAGACAGTGAGTGCTGGAGTAATTAGAGAAGGTGGCAGGTATGGCAAGTTTTCATTCTTAAACCAGGTCATAAAAGATGACCAAGACTCGGTTTCTTAGAGGTATAGAGGAGAGAATTTTTCTATTTGCAGAGAAGATCAAATCATTTTCAGTGATGACCAAGAACCTCAAGTACCTGGCCTGGTCAGAATAGAAATGAAGCCATTGTAAGCTTTTGTTTAAGAGAATAATACAGGAGTGTTTTGCCAGGAGTTTTATAGGGCAGAAAGGGTATCGCAAACAACCCGGGGACATGTAGTCAAAAACTTAGATAACAAAGACTGGGCTGTTATAGTGGCAGTGTACTGGAGAAAGAGATATTGGTAGGATGTTTGAAAGGAAACATCAGTGAATGCCTTTAGATTGGCTAGATTTGAAGGTTATACAGGAAATGTGTCATTAAACTTTATATAAGAACTTATTCTGAACATTTCATTCAACTCCAAGATGACCCAAAATATCAGAAAACCATAGTTAGAAAACAGTACAGCTGGGCGCAATGGTATCTGTCTATATCCCCAACACTTCAGAAACCGAGACAATAGGATGGAGGTGGGAGCCAAGGCCATGCTGGGGTACACAGGAAGAAACATATAATAAACAGGAAAGTACATCATGCCATTGTGCTCACAAAACGTATTGAGTCACTTTTCAAGGCATTTTCTAAATCCTTTCAGCAAACAGGCTAAAAAAAGAAAAATGCTGGATTACCACTCAAAGGGTGTCAGAGGGGTGGGGCTGATACCTTCTAGTTAATTACTGAATCTATTTAGATGCTCAGCTTGGAGCAATATTTATGTGTAGACTTAGAGTGAGATCCAAGTCATATTTATTCAGATGTCAATTGTTTACTTGGAATTTGCTTATGTAATTGATGAAAGAATAATACACAAAGCATTAATTACTTTTCTTATCAGAATGATAAAAAAACAAAAAAGGTAAATGACACCCCTGAGAGGTTGAGGAAAAACATAACTTGAAAAGTCTTATCAGTGGCCGGGTGGTGGTGGCACATTCCTTTAATCCCAGAACTCAGGAGGCTGAGACTGATAGATCTCTGTGAGTTTGAAGCCAGCCTGGTCTACATGGCTAGTTTCAGGACAGTCAAGGCTATACAGAGAAAGCTTATTTCAACCTACCCCCCAACAGACTCATTAGTGTAATAATAATAAAATAAGTTTCTAACTCTGTAGCTAAGATGCCTCAGTACCTCTGTAGCCAAGACTTTAAATCATACAGCCATTTGGTAACTTTTTTGTGTGTCTATATCTCATTGGTTCTAAAATTCACCTTTTTTTATTTCAACATTTTAAGTTGGATTGTATCCTCCTGTGGATATCATTTTGTTATTCTTGGCTAGCCAATCATTATATACCTACCATTGCCTTCATCCATTTCTTTGTTTTTCTATTTTATGTGTGCATCAAAGTTATATAGGATAAATTATATCCAAATAAGTCTAAAAGAATTGTATTAGTGTAACACAAGGACCAGGCTGCTTGTTGTTGGGGTTTTTGTCCTGTCCAGTACCCCAACTGTTTAGCCTCAAAGAAAATCACACACAGATCTCCATAAATTATAAGCTGGTTGGCCCATTAGCTCTAGCCTCTCACTGGCTAACTCTCACATCTTGATTAACCCATTTTTCTGATCTATGTTAGCCACGTGGCTCAGTACCTTTTTCAGTGGGGCAGATCACATCCTGCTGCTTCGGTGATCTGGGCAGGAGTGGGAGGAATCAGCTTCCTCCTTCCCAGAATTCTCCCGTTCTCATTACATCATTTCTACTTCCTGTCTGTTTTCCCACCTATATTTCCTGCCTGGCCAATCAGCATTTATTTAAAATATGATTGACAGAATACAGACAATTCTCCTGTACCACTTCCCCCTCTTTTAAAAAAAAAAAAAGGAAAATATCCATAGTCCATTTTTTTGGGAATGTGGGTGTAGTATTTCAGGCTACTTCCAGCTGGTTGGGGGCTCTGATAATCTTATGGGGACCTAAAGAGTATTTAGAGTTATGATGGGGCTCATACTTCAGCAGCTGTTGGCTGAAGGAGCGGAAGGTCCTCCTGCAGCATATTAGTAAAGAATGTCAGAAGTGAAAAGGCAGTTTGAGAGCATGGTTTTCTTTCTCAATAGAGCATAAATTGGCAGGCCTTAAAAAAAATTTTTTTTTGAGACAGGGTTTCTCTGTAGCTTTGATGCCTGTCCCAGAACTAGCTCTTGTAGACCAGGCTGCCCTCTAACTCACAGAGATCTGCCTGCCTCTGCCTCCCGAGTGCTGGGATTAAAGGCGTGCACCACCACCACCGGGCTAAAATATTTATTTTTATATATGGGTTTTCTGTCTGTGCATATGTATGGGTGCCATATGTGTGCAGTATTCATAGAAGCCAGAAGAGGGCATCGGATCTCCTGGAACTGAAGTTACAGTTATGAGCAGTCATGTGGGTTCTAGGATTGGAACTGGTGTCCTCTGCAAGAATAGCAAGTGCTTTTAACTGCTGAACTATCTCTCCAGGCCTAAACTTGTGTGTTTTTAAATGAAAGTATCTTAAATTTGATTAAATGTGGTATAAAAATAGCCACAAATGGCAAATCTTCACCAATGAGATATAGATAATAAAATAATTGTTTATTTACTTCCTATTAAGATAAGGTCTCACTGTGTATCCCTGGTTGGCCTAGAACTCATTTTTGTAGAATAGGCTGGCCTCAAAATCACAAAGATCCATTTGTCTCTGTCTCCTGAGCGCTGTGATTAAAAGCATGTACCAACATAAAATAGTATAAATATGTATCCTTCCATTGACTCAAATTGGAAGAGCCCCTTGGGTTCTTTAAATGTGTACTTGGGATATCGGGAAAAAAGTTTCTCTCAATGATGTAAGTACCACCGGTGCAGATTGGAAGCCTCCACGCAGGATCCATTTCTGAACCGGTACTGGATACAAACCTTCCTAAAACTTTAGATATTAACAGTATTAACAGGTGCATTTTCCTCAAAGCAGTTTGCCTTTCTAACCTTAAGTCACTATGTGGTCCAAATAAGTCTCTCTGTCTCTTTCTCTATCTTTGCCTCTGTCTCTCTCTCTCTCTCTCTAGATTATATATTTGTCTATATAAAAATCTGTCTATTTATAGATTTTATTTACCTATTTATTCATATTGAACTTCTATTAGTTAGTAGTTCAAAACATACAAGCAAGCAAACATAAACAGTCCTTACTCTGAGCAATTTAAAATCTGATATTTACTCATCAATGCTTAGGCTAAGGGCTGCAAAGAAAACATCCACAACAAAAAGTCCTAGGACACTGAGGGGCAAGGGGCTCAATATCCTTCAATAAGGGTGACCAAGTAGTGGAGATACTATATAGAACGGGGGAAAAGGCTTTAGGTAGAGTGTCCAGTCTCCTCAGGAAGGAAGATGACAGCCTCTTTCAGAGGGATGCTGCGCTAGTCTCAAATCATTGTCAAGACGTTGTCTCACTCCCTTTTGTACCTGTCTGACTGTGCTTCCTCTGGGTGGTTGGTGGAGTCTGTACATAGAAAGTCTGGAACCGTTGTGCACTGCCCTCCCGAGGGAAAGCAGCCTCAAGGTAATGTTCATGCCACTGTAGACTTGGGGAGAGCCTTCATGTCCCATTGTAATGAGAATTGCCACAGTGTGTGCAGTAGAAGCTCTCTTTGTTCCCTGCTAAGGGTACCACATATGATAGCAGCCATCTTCTCTGGCTGCTCAGCTGCTTCTCCAGTCTAGACAGTTCTGAGTATGTTTACCATTTATGCAAATCGAAGGTGATGAAGACATTTGTATTGGGGATGATATAAAGCCTCTTGATTTAGAATACGCTATCTCTTTCAAAAATGAGCAATAGAAACTTCAGTTTTCAGTACTAGAGGTTTTGGCCATTTCTGCATCTTATAGACTGGAGGTAGGTTGCTTTTCTGCTCAGCAACACATCACGGGCAGAAACATACTTTCCTGGGCATTTACACAGCATAATGACCAGTGCATGCGGTGTATGTATATACAAGTTCATGTTCCTGAGCTGATAAGTAGAAATAAAGTTAGTATGTTAAGTTAGGAGGATGGTACTCTTTACAACTAAGGGGCACAGTGCTTCAGGTAAGTAATTTGAAGTCTTCCACCACCTGACGTAACCTTGGTTTGGTCTGTAGGTATGTTTTAATTTTGCTTGTTATTCACTTTTAATGGGGTTTGTAGAGCATGCAAAGCCAACTGTTGGCAAACAAGAAGTGATTTAACTGTGTGGTGTGCTGTTAAGAGACTTTTAGGAAACTTCAAATGCACAGAAAGAAGCTCTGGCTACCTATTCCAAAGTGTGTAAAACACTACTCAGCTTGGTAAAGGTATGACAACATTTTATACACACCACACATACCCATGGGGGAGTGGAGGTGTTCTGATAAAGAGCTGTTGAGCTTTCTCAGTTAGATCTCTGAATTAACCTAAATAAGCCCTGAGGCTAAGTGCCCTCAGAGAGTGTGAGGTGAGGGCAGTCTGCACACGAGAGGCATTGATGCTGGCTTAAATGCTTTTCATTGCTGCAGATCCAGCTTTCTCTAAAGAGACACATTGTTTTCAGACCTGCCTCAGGCATATCATTAGAACCAACCTATTGAAGAGGAATTGTTTGGAAATAAACAAAACCTTTTGAGCTGTAGTAGAACCTTGGAGTAGAATCTCTAGTTCCAATAGAAAGTTTCTTCCCGGCACCAGGCAAGTCTTGTGTGGCCCTTACCTGCAAAACACGGTGGTCCAAACTTGCCACATCCTCTCTGGGAGAGAAAGGCCCCTCTCAGCTCTCTGTCTGCTGTTTTATTGTAGGGTTCTTGCTCAGACTCCTCAGAGCTACAGAGACCCTTGGTTCCCTCACACACTCCTACCAAGGACTGTGTTGCTGACTTGAAAGGAAGATTACTATTCCACTTGCAGTTGTTGCTTAGTAACATTTGTGATTGTGTTTCTGGTGACAGCGTGAGCAGAGATCATTAAAAATTAAACTCCCAGAGCTGCTAAAGCAGGAGGAAGTGGGAGCCGTGAAGCCACCACTGTGTTCACTTTGCTTAGAAACCGTTTACTCTCAGGCTTACATGTAAATCTTGCAGAAAACATTGCATGTCTCTGGTTTATATTAAGCCACATACAGCACACTAACTGACATTGATTTTTGTCCCGTGCAGCTGGAGTGGATCACTAAGACTTTAAGGGGGGAAGGGGACCTTGAAGAATGGTCTGGAATTACAGTCAGACGGGCCGCTCCGTGTCCCGGAGCAAACAAGCCCTAACCTGCTCTGTGTCTCTCTCTGCTTCCTTCCCACAGTTCCACCAGGTGAGAAGAGTGATGACCATCCTTTTCCTTACTATGGTTATTTCATACCTCGGTTGCATGAAGGCTGCGCCCATGAGAGAGGCAAACGTCCATGGACAGGGCAGCTTGGCCTACCCAGGTGTGCGGACCCATGGGACTCTGGAGAGCGTGAATGGGCCCAGGGCAGGTTCGAGAGGTCTGACGACATCGCTGGCTGACACTTTTGAACACGTGATCGAAGAGCTGCTGGATGAGGACCAGAAGGTTCGGCCCAACGGAATAAACCATAAGGACGCGGACTTGTATACTTCCCGGGTGATGCTCAGCAGTCAAGTGCCTTTGGAGCCTCCTCTGCTCTTTCTGTTGGAGGAATACAAAAATTACCTGGATGCCGCAAACATGTCTATGAGGGTCCGGCGCCACTCTGACCCAGCCCGCCGTGGGGAGCTGAGCGTGTGTGACAGTATTAGCGAGTGGGTTACAGCGGCAGATAAAAAGACTGCAGTGGACATGTCGGGTGGGACGGTCACGGTCCTGGAGAAAGTCCCGGTATCAAAAGGCCAACTGAAGCAATACTTCTACGAGACCAAGTGTAATCCCATGGGATACACGAAGGAAGGCTGCAGGGGCATAGACAAAAAGCACTGGAACTCGCAATGCCGAACGACCCAGTCGTATGTTCGGGCGCTTACTATGGATAGCAAAAAGAGAATTGGCTGGCGATTCATAAGGATAGACACTTCCTGTGTATGTACACTGACCATTAAAAGGGGAAGATAGTGGATTTATGTTGTATAGATTATATTGAGACAAAAATTATCTATTTGTATATATACATAACAGGGTAAATTATTCAGTTAAGAAAAAATAATTTTATGAACTGCATGTATAAATGAAGTTTATACAGTACAGTGGTTCTACAATCTATTTATTGGACATATCCATGACCAGAAAGGAATCAGTCATTGGCGCACAACTTTAAAAGTCTGCATTACATTCCTCGATAATGTTGTGGTTTGTTGCCGTTGCCAAGAATTGAAAACAAAAAGTTAAAAAAAAAATAATAAATTGCATGCTGCTTTAATTGTGAATTGATAATAAACTGTCCCTCTTTCAGAAAACAGACAAAACAAAACAAAAAAAAACAACAAAAAAAGAACAAAAATCTGAACCAAAACATTCCGTTTACATTTTAGACACTAAGTATCTTCGTTCTTGTTAGTACGCTGTTTTACTGCTTTCGACTTCTGATAGCGTTGGAATTAAAACAATGTCAAGGTGCTGTTGTCATTGCTTTACTGGCTTAGGGAATGGGGGATGGGAGGGGTATATTTCTGTTTGTTTTGTGTTTTATTTTGTTTGTTTGTTTGTTTTGTTTTTTAGTTCCACCAGGAGTAGGGATGGAGAAAATGTCTTCAGTATCCATTCTGGTTGATAAAACGCTGCATTTGTATGTTGTAAAGATGTTTGCAAAATCCAATCAGATGACTGGAAGTGAATAAAAACTAAGGCAACTGAATGAAATGCTCACACTCCACTGCCCATGATGCATCTCTCTGGTCCCCAGCTCACCCTTCTGGCATGGGTCAGGGAAAGCTGCTTTTATCGGGAAGACCCGCATTTCTCCAAAGTACATTCTTCCCCTCTCTCCTCCGCCTTTGGTCTTTTCTTTTTGTTTTGTTTTATCTTAAGAAAGAAAATTTAGTTGCGCGCTTTGAAAGATTTTATCACCACTGCGAACAGGTGGACACAGAGTGTCATATGATGGCACTCATGGAAAATGGTGATTTTTTTTTGTTTTTGTTTTCCCCCCAAAGAGAAAGAGAACAAGAATAAATAACCCAAAATATTGGGTTTTTTTTGTTTTTGTTTTTGTTTTTTCTTTTTGGTTTTTTTGTTTGTTTTTGTTTTAAGTAAGTGGTAAGCAAGCATTGGGTAAATTATTGTAAGTCCTAACAATGTTTTGCAGGTAAAAGTTACTAAGTACAGTCAGACCCTTACATCAGAGCAGAAATCCACACTGCCATTGAAATGCAGCAGAATGGCCCTGTGGAGGCTAAGTGGAGAGGACGTACATTTCCTGGCAATGCAGGAGGAATTTCTGAGTGGCCAGCCTGAGGTCTCGATGGAGGTGGGGAATGGTACTTGAGACATTCCTAAAGGAAGGCACAGAAGCACCCTTCAGGGTAGGCTATGGAATGATGTGTCAAGAAGCTTAGACCTCCTGCTTTAAGTGCCTGCATTACCTAGTAGTGCTTAAGAGGTTCTCAACTGGAGAACCACACTCGCATCCATCTATGCCCTCCATCCGTTCCTAATTTGTGTGTAAAGTTGGATTAACCTGGAGCGGGCTTGGATCCAAATGTGGCATCTGTTTTTTTTTTTTATTTTTTTATTTTTTTTTTTTTGATGAGGATGATGAAATTAACGCAATGTGTTAGAAAATGTCTCTTACAAGGATAATTGCTTGCTTTGAACCTAGACTTCAGGAAGCCTGGGTTTTATTTTATTTATTTTATTATTTTTTTTTTTTTGAGATGTTTTGGTAGAAGGAAAAGAAAAAGGCACCAAAAACTCAGATGGAATGATCAATGTCAGTAAAGGCTAGAAATTCTGGGCAGAGACAAGACTAAAGAAGTACTTTGCACAGTGGAAGAGGCCAGAACACAGGAGAAAATTTTCCTCCAGCGAAGAGCACAAAAATCTCCTGCAATTCTGTCTGTTCACGGCATGGGTCCCTTCTGTTCATTGCCCTTTGGGGTTAGACATCAGGTTGGTAGCCTGAATGAATGGACCCAGTGAGAATTAATGTTCAGCCTTCTTCTAAGCGTGAATGTGTTAGTGGTTACTTATCTGGATTCCTGTGCACCAGAAAAGAGGCAAGCAATTGCTTCATCTTAGGAGGGGGAAGGATGAACAAAAGTGAATGTCCATTGTGACTCAGGGAGTGAAGATACCATCAGCAAACTTTCTTTTTTTCCAACGTTTCCATTAGTATTTGCCTGTCTTTTGGAGTACCACTGAATATCTGAAAGAAAGACTTTATGTAGCATAGATTGTTTTGTGCCGTTTGACAACATTAATCTTTGTCGTTTTTTAACCTATTAAGGAATGCTTGGAATATCTGCTCTGTGTTAACTTTTTGCAGCTTCATTCTGAGAGACATCAGTCAAACAAACAAAAGAATCCCCATCACAGTCTTACAGTATTCCAAGAGCCATGTCTGTTAAGTGGCTTCATAGGAGACACTCAGCAACCATGTGGTCAGTGGCTCGCTCTTTTACCCAATAACATACATCATAGTTACATGTTTGGTGGTTTGTGTTGACCTGAGATTTATTTTTAAGATCTTTTCTTTGTTTCTGTTCGTTCTGGTTCTGGTTCTGTTCTGTTCTGTTTTGTTTTTAAAGTCTTGCTGTGGTCTCTTTTTGGCAGAAATGTTTCATGCATGGCAGCAGGCCTGTTGCTTTTTTATAGTGATTCCCATTGAAACTGTAAGTAAATGTCTGTGGCCTTGTTCTCTCTATGGTAAAGATATTCACCATGTAAAACAAGAAAAATATTTATTGTATTTTAGTATATTTATATAATTATGTTATTGAAAAATTGGCATTAAAATTTAACCACATCAGAAGCCTATTGTAAATACAGGTTCTATTTAAGTGTACCAATTAACATATAATATATGTTTTAAATATAGAATTTTTAATGTTTTTAAATATATTTTCAAAGTACATAAAATCTGGGGGTTCTGGGTTTTTTCTCTTCACTGTTAAATATGAAAATGTGTTTTATTATAAATACATGTGTTCCTTGCTTTAAGACCAACATGACTAGAGGTAGCAACTGAACAGCCCCCACACAGGAAGCTTATTTCAAAGCATGGGGAGACCAATCCTGAAAATTGTACGCTTCAAAAAAAAACCTCCAGGATTGGGCCTGTCTTCTGTAGTAGAAGACAGGAGTGTCATTTTCTAGGACACTTGAAACTTCTCCCCTTTGAAGAGATAGACTTTCATCAAATACCAAACCATGTATCCTAGCAACATCAGGATCCATGAACCAGGGCTGGCAAGCTCTATTTGATTATAAAATAACTGTTTAAAAAAATCAAAGTAGGTTTACTTAGGGATAATGAGAATAAATTGGCTCAAATTTAGAAAGTCAATGACTGAAAATCTTGCAGAAATTCAATATTTGGAGACAGGTCGTGTCCCCTCGGTTTGGAAGCGGTGCCGCTTGCAGCATGTGCTTGTATCCATTGCACTGATTTAATTTTTGTATGTGGAGCATGCAGATTTTATATCATAGTAGCCATGATCTAACAGATTGCTACAATCTCTAAAAAGATTTGCCTCCATGACGGCTGCCAAGCCGCTGGGTAATTTAGTTAAAGTGTTTAAAGTTATCACCAAATCTTAGGGAAATAAATGGAAGGATTTTAAATTAGAGAAAGGGCCATTAAGGAAAAGAGCATCTGTTCTGACTCCTCAGGCTCCCTGTTTGAGCACTGACAGCCCATCGCAGAAAGTGGTGAACTATATCTGTGCAATGTATCATTCCTATTTCAAACATACACACATGGTTTCCTCGTGTATTGTCCTATAAATAAGGATCAGGAAAGTCATAACAAACACTGACTTTGTGTTGTGTATATGCAAGAGCAAATCGAATGAGATGAATGGCTCTAATCTGCCCAGTGCATTTACAGAGCACTCTAACCCCTGAGAGCCCCCTCCCACCTCCGCGCGCGCGCGCGCGCGCGCGCGCGCACACACACACACACACACACACACACACACACACACACACACACACACCAGCCAGCCAGCCAGCCAACTCTGACAGTCTAGTCATGAAATTAGAACTTCGCAATACTTATCAGGCTTATCCAATTTTCATAGTTGACAAAGACAAAAATGTTTCCCAAACAACTGAGTAACAAGAGGTGGAAATTAAATAGGACATCCAGGTTTGTGAAATTAAAGGGGTTTGGCAACTAGGGTGAAGTTTCCAATTCGTGCCAAAGGTCAGATCAAAATGTAGAACTTACTTAGCCAACCTAGGAGCTCACCTATATCCAGACTGTAACTATGACAAAAAAAAAAAATGAGAGAGAGAAATGAGGTCAGAGGAACAACAGCAGCAAAATGGAGGCACTGCTAGGAGTAACCGGTTTGCACTGGATTAGAGCTGTTAAATCATTAAGACGCTTGGAAATAAGTTGCATGATTTGATCTATTGCTTTCATCACATTTGTGAGCCTCTGTGGTCATTCGATGTGTCTATGAGGTTGTTTTATCATCCATTCTGACTTTTATTAACAATACCGCAACTCAGTGAAATCTGAAGTAGGTCTTAGAAGGGAAGTGTGAAATTGTCCTGTGTTCACCGACATGTTTGGCTGGCTCTAGAAGACAGGTCGTACACCTCTGAACTGCGCCAGTTAGACTTCAGGCCTTGCCTCAGAGCAGCCAGTGCTCCTGTCAGCGTTATTGGTTTCTCCCGTTCTAATATCAAGTGTGTTCAATAAGTCAGTCAAGATGAAATGTCTGCATTTTTGTAAGCTATTGCTAAGACAGATAACTAAGATTTAAAAGAAAAGCACATACGTATATACATACATACATACACGCATAGGTAAGTAGATGAAACATTTAGCCTGGAAAGAACCATCATAGACATGGTTCAGATGTAACATGCTGACCAGAAAAATTAGTATTTAACCTATTATTAGTATGGGACCTGGACCATTCTTTTAGCTGTGTGTTAACTGTTGCCTTAAAGATGGGGTGTTTGGTTTGGGAGGTCAAAGGGGAGTAGTTGTGACTCTGATTCCTTTTAGTTGCATTGACCTTTCCATAGCTGATGAACTTCTACCTGAGAGCCAAGGACAGCGACTTGAGGGGGTCACAGTGACTGTAAAGCCTCCAGCATGCCCAGACAGTACAGCTAGTGAACACCCCAACTGCCCCTCTGCCACCAAGGTTTTCAACATCATCTACTCTTTTAGTTTTAGCAAGTTAATTCTTTCTAGGAAAAAAATGAAAGTGTCTTACTTTTAAACATATGATTAAATACAGCATATTATTTGAAGAATATGAACATTGCCCAAGATCATTTCACACTGAAGACGAAAACACGGTGGCATTTTACACATCTATTCTTCATTAACAAAAATCTATTTATGTGACATGATGTAGAATTTCCAAAGCCTTTACCTCAGCTCTTTTTATAACTTGGTAAGCAACCACGTGAAAAGCTCCTAGGCTGGCATTTGCCTTTGGAAAACTGGTAATAGCTGTAGCATCAAACTGTGA